ACTGCTTTCGAAACTGTGATTGTGTCAGACTGTCAGTTCGTGGTAATCTTGAATGTATATGACAAACCATAAGTTTTTTTTCCTTACACGAGCGCTATGAAGGGCGTCAATCTATCCCAAAAAGGGGGGGGGGGGGGGCGGACCCCAAACTAAGAAGGTCCGGAGGTATCCTACCCCAAATGTTTTTCTAAATTTTGGTGCACTTATAAAGTTATATTACAATGTTTTGGAGGCACTTATAAAGTTATATTACAATGTGCATGATCTTAAATCCATGTTTAACCATGTAAGAAATCCGCTAAAACCAACATCTCCTAGCATGTGAACATGACGTTACTCTCGACGAAGCCTAAAATGTCCTCACCCTTATTGTAATGCTAATAATCTATTAAATTAACCGTTTGCCTTATTTTGATGATAATCATATGTAAGGGAAACTCAGTTAAAATGCAATTATTTTTAAGTTTTTACAATTTTACATAATATATGCGATGTCAGTATTTGCTCTCAGCGATCGTACAGAAAGATCATACGTTGCACTTCTTGTTAAATGTCTTCCTTTCAATCACAATTTTTGATGAACAGCATACCATGCATTAGGTTTTTAGATAACCACGAAACAAAATTGCAGTAAACATGTCAAAAAGTGGAGGGATAATTAGATATTCGTCCCCCCACTCCAAAAACTGAGGGGGACGCGTCCCCCCCAGGATTGACGCCCATGAGCTATGATGCAAAATGCCGTCAAAATTAGTTATACCAAATTTGGGTGACGTTCGTGTTGACAAGAACATCGCTTGCTTATTAAACTCACTGATATTAATATTGTAATGCCCGTAGTAAATATTGTTGTGTTTCTAATAATTATAATTTGCGGCCTTTTTGGTTGTGTGTTTGTTCTTAGTTAATACTATGGTTTGTTGAAGTTGAGTTGTTGTCTTTCTCCTTGCTGTTGTGCCGTTCAGTCACTCTACTGTAGTTGTTATTGTATGAGCATGCTGTATGCATGCATGCTGTATATGCATGTGTTGCTGTTGCAGCTATTGTTGTTGTTGTTGTTGTTGTTGTTGTTGTTGTTGTTGTTGTTGTTGTTGTTGTTGTTGTTGTTGTTGTTGTTGTTGTTGTTGTTGTTGTTAAAATTATTTGCTCAGGATATAAGTATATTTTTTCTAGTTTTTGTACTTTTGACATCGTTTGATGTACTGATCGAAATCATGGCCGAAGCATATGACTTAGGATTAACAGGCCTTAACGAGCAGCATCGAGCTTTCATTGGTTTCCAACTGGACGCGAAAACTCGCAGAAAAAACCACGGGCGGTACCCTGAAATGTTTTTCAGTCCTTACGCTTTACCACAACTCGAGACAATGTTTCGTGCAAAGAAAGGAGCTAGGTCATTGCTGATCATTTCTGCTGCAAAACCAGTAAACACTGAGCGGTACGAGAGATTTCGAAAGGAGTTAGTAAACAGAACTGTACATGATGAACCGTTTAAAGATTCATATGTTTTCGATCAAGACGTGGTTAGTTTTTCTTATGATCAGTTTTCAAATCTGTTTATTTATAATATTAAAGCGTCTCTCCCGCGTTTTCACTCAAGTCATAAGCGTACGGGACAGATACCTTCCGGGGGGAGGGGTTTCACTTGAAAGTTTGCCAGAACTTTGTATAGGTTATTTTGAGGCAACGAGGGGATATGTGATTTATTCACCGAGGCGCGCAGCGCCGAGGTGAATAAACACATATCCCCGAGGTGCCTCGAAGGTGCCTCGAGGTCGCGTTAATGAGTCAGAATAGAAATAATTTTTAATGCCATATTGCCTTCGTCATGTTGTTTTTTTTTCTCATTTTTTGTGCTGCAAAGACATTGCAGGTGAACATTAGAGGGGATTATTAATTGCAGGTGAACATTAGAGGGGATTATTAAACGGAAATTGATTAGAGGGGAATATTGAATATATTCCCCTATAAGAACAAAGGAAACCGAGCAGGGTGAGAAATAATGTCAAATATTGAAATGACCAAAATTTAAGTACTAGTTAAAAGATGAGCGGCCGATCTTTATCTGATATACAAACTCGAGCCGAAGGCAAGAATTTTCTTCATTTTTTTTTAGCATTTGCCCGAATTTCCATGGTTCTCCATGGTTTCCCCTGTCTCGTACGCCTATGCTCAAAGCCTTAAACAATATATCCCTAACAATCGGCTCGCAGTTGCTCGCTTTCCGCTATATATATTGGCTAACTAAAGAAATATATATGTATCCCATAAAAAATCAAAATATGTTTATAGTTTACCTCAACATTTGTCTACATATCTCGATTTGAATCTTCATAGGTATGGTAAAAAAAATCGTGTGCGGAAAATTTCTCTTCTTCAATGGTTTTTCTAATATGACGTTTTCTTTGACAACTTCGTGAATTATCAGTAACATATCCAAGAATCAGGGCATATCAGAAAAACCACTAAAGAAGAGAAATTTTCCGCACACGTTTTTTTTTTACCATGCCTATGAAGATTCGAATTGCGATATCTAGACAATCGTTGAAGTAAACTATAAACATATTTTGATGTTTTTATTAAGGTACCTATATACTTATTCAGTCAGCCAATACTGAAAATGTTTAAACAGAACACCCATCAAATGAACATTTTCGAAATCAGCATTTTCCTTGCTTTCTTCACTGAAAATTTGGTAAAGTTACACCTA